GAAATCCTTGAAATCCTTGAAAAACCAAATCCCGGGATTTAATTTTTCCAAGGATTTCATAAAATTTATAATGCCCCAAAAAAGCCTTGAAATCCTTAAAATATTAAATCCCGGGATTTGATTTTTTAAGGATTTCAAGGATTTTTTGGGCATTTAAATTTTATGAAATCCTTGAAAAATTAAATCCCGGGATTTGATTTTTCAAGGATTTCAAGGACTTCATAAAATTTAAATACCGGAACTCCTGCAAAAGCAAACCCCCCCCCTCCCCTCTCAGAGTACGGGAAGACCACGCGGATTTTAAAATTTATGAAATCCTTGAAACCCTTGAAAAATTAAATCCCGGGATTTGATTTTTCAAGGATTTCATGAAATTTAAAATGCCCAAAAAACCCTTGAAATCCTTAAACAAATCAAATCCCGGGATTTAATATTTTAAGGATTTCAAGGATTTTTTGGGCATTTCAAATTTTATGAAATCCTTGAAAAATTAAATCCCGGGATTTAATTTTTCAAGGATTTCAAGGATTTCATAAAATTTAAATACCGGAACTCCTGCAAAAGCAAACCCCCCCCTCCCCACTCAGAGTACGGGAAGACCACGCAGATTTTAAAATTTCTGAAATCCTTGAAATCCTTGAAAAACCAAATCCCGGGATTTGATTTTTCAAGGATTTCATAAAATTTAAAATGCCCAAAAAATCCTTGAAATCCTTAAAATATTAAATCCCGGGATTTGATTTTTTAAGGATTTCAAGGATTTTTTGGGCATTTTAAATTTCATGAAATCCTTGAAAAATCAAATCCCGGGATTTAATTTTTCAAGGATTTCAAGGATTTCATAAAATTTAAATACCGGAACTCCTGCAAAAGCAAACCCCCCCTCCCCACTCAGAGTACGGGAAGACCACGCGGATTTTAAAATTTATGAAATCCTTGAAATCCTTGAAAAATCAAATCCCGGGATTTAATTTTTCAAGGATTTCATAAAATTTAAAATGCCCAAAAAATCCTTGAAATCCTTAAAATATTAAATCCCGGGATTTGATTTTTTTAAGGATTTCAAGGGTTTTTTGGGCATTTTAAATTTCATGAAATCCTTGAAAAATCAAATCCCGGGATTTAATTTTTCAAGGATTTCAAGGATTTCATAAATTTTAAAATCCGCGTGGTCTTCCCCGTACTCTGAGTGGGGAGGGGGGCGGTTTGCTTTTGCAGGAGTTCCGGTATTGAAATTTTATGAAATCCTTGAAATCCTTGAAAAATTAAATCCCGGGATTTGATTTTTCAAGGATTTCATAAAATTTAAAATGCCCAAAAAATCCTTGAAATCCTTAAAAAATCAAATCCCGGGATTTAATATTTTAAGGATTTCAAGGATTGTTTGGGCATTTTAAATTTCATGAAATCCTTGAAAATCAAATCTAGGGATTTCCCCGGCGGCAAAAGAGGCGTGCCAAATAGACCCTAAAGGTCCTACGTACATAGGACTATAGTACTGTACTATAGTCAAATACACAAATAACATAATGTCCCGAAGCATGCTTGGGGTCAGAAAGCAGGATGTTTCTGTAGCCCCATTGATCAAAGACAGGCCTGCGCCGAGCCCTGCCTCTACCTGGAATCCCCCATCGCTGCCGACTGCTAGGCCACAACCCCGAAACCAGGGTGAGAGCCTCCAAACATGCTGGGGCAATCGGCATGGGAGGTTCTAAACCCTCAACACAACAACCTTGAAGTCTTGAAGCCCCAAATACAAAAACTAGAGCCCCGCTCATATCCCCTCCCCAGAAATTGATCTCGGTACAACGAAGGGCGTCCTGTTTTGGCTTATGCTGGGAGGTGATGCCACTACAACAATGAAGGTGCCACTGGCGCATGAACTCCGAAGCCTAATCTCCCAACAAACCCCAAACTTTGCTTAGGATTTAGGGTTTAAGGTTTAAGGTTCAGGGTTTAGGGTTGAGTGTTTTGGGTTTCACAAGGGCACCACTGGGGCGCAGGGTATGTCCATGTGGCTAAGGCTGAGGCTTGAGGCAAATGCCTTGGAAGCTCTCCTGAGCAGCAGTTTAGGGCAGGGCTTCGGGTTTCGGGTTTTTGTTGCAACGCAAACCCTAAACCCTAAACCCTAAACCCTAAACCCTAAACCCTAAACCCTAAACCCTAAACCCTAAACCCAAGTTGAAGGGTTGCTGGCTTAGGGTAGCGGACTGCCAAGCTCGTCAGGGACGAGTGCGGAGACGGGTGGAGGCTTTCGAGGTCGCTCTCGGGGGGGAAGGTATCTGTGTGTGTGTGTGTGTGTGTGTTTTGTCTTTTTGTTTTTTTTGTTTTTTTTTTTTTTGGGGGGGGGGAAGTTCCTATAAGTATTAGGAGGAGGGGTACTCCCGATATTCGGAATAAATGTCGACTTCAAGCCAAGCGGCCCACATTCGCCAATTCTGGCGGCACCTGGTCACGAGCCCCAAAACCCAAAACCCAAAACCCTAATCCCTGAGCTTACTTGAACCACTAAGCGCAAGAACTTGGCACAAAGGCGCCGGAAAGCCTAACCACCAAAAGCAAAGCTTTCAATAATCCTTGCAAGATCCTTGCAGCCCTGAGAGAGCAAGCTTGGGGGTTAAATGGGTGCGCTTATCTAGAGAGGCCCTTGAAGCCCTTTGAACAATATTCCTAAACATGATCCTCTTAAACCTCATAAAGAACTACATGGAAAATCCCAAAACCCAACCTGCTCATCTACTATTTGCTTAAGAACACCCAAAAAAGATGTTCTCCCTCTCTCTCTCTCTTACAAGGTATTGTCTTCTTTTTTTTTTGTTTGGGGGGGGGGGGGGGGGTGGAGGGTTCTTAAGCAAACAGCTTAAGGCCCTGGACCCTACACCTAAAAACAGAGCGGCTCTCCATAGGGTCAGAAGCATGGTAACGACAGGTAGAACCTTGCTTGCGGGACTTTTTTTATATCCCTAAACCCTAAACCCTAAACCCTAAACCCTAAACCCTAAACCCTAAACCCTTGGTTGAACCCAAGACCTGATCCTGTGCAGCTTGTACAGCCCTAAACCCCAAACCCCCTACACCCCTAAACCCTTAACCACCTAAACCCCTTTTTGCCCCCTAAACCCGTAAACCCCTAACCCCTAAACCCTAAACCCCTAAACCCCTAAACCCCTAAACCCTAAACCCCTTAAACCCCAAAACCCCTCAACCCTAAACCCCTTAAACCCTAAACCCCTTAAACCCTAAACCCCAAAACCCCAAAACCCCCAAACCCCAAAACCCCAAAACCCCAAAACCCTAAACCCTAAACCCCTAAACCCTCAAGCCGCCCTAAACCCCACACCCTGGCCGAAGTCCATCAGATCCTGCCTCCTTGTGGCTTCCACCATACAGGCCCGGGCTTCCTTCATCTTGATTCTTCTAGGGTTTAGGGTTTAGGGTTTAGGGTTTAGGGTTTTGTTTTTGCCACCCGACTAGCCACGGCAATGCGGGGTGCAAGGTCGGAACTTGAAAGGAGAACAGGTATTCCCAGGCATTCAAAAGGCTACCTGGAATACATCGCCCGCAGGGGGTAATCATGTTAGGACATCGTGGTTGGATGACGGTATGTTCGGTGGGGGGGGGGGTTGTGTGTCACAGCAGCAAACAACAAGTCCACTACAGACGAACCCCAACCCGTAGGATTTAGGGTTTAGGGTTTAGGGTTTAGGGTTTAGGGTTTAGGGTTTAATCACTCACACTCGGACGGGCCAGGCGAGGCACACACTGTCTCAGAGTCTCCCGGTGAAGCTTTGGGCCCCTGTGATACTGTTGCTTTTCTAGGGCTTCGGGTTTAGGGAGGGTTTGGGGTTTAGGGTTTGGGGTTTAGGGTTTAGGGTTTAGGGTTTGGGGTTTAGGGCTACGTTTGTTACTGGTTCTTAGTAGGGAAGGTACATAAAAATACTACCCTTTACAGGATTATATAGGGTTTAGGGCCGGGATGCTACCATTGAGGTATTATAGAGGGTCCCACATCGCCACTCTCCAGATAGTTTAGGGTTAGGGTTTGGGTACACTAGGGCTCACGACGCACTGCAGGCCACCATGCTGGAAAAGCCGTGCCAATTGCAGTTAACGCGTGGCAGAGCCCAAACAAAAAAAAAGGTAAAAGGCTACCTACTCTACTACTAAGAAGGGGTATACCGGTTCCGCCATGTCCTTCACGCGATCTTTGTGAAGGTGTACAGCAGCCAGGTTTGCCCAGGCTTGTCCATCCTGCCAAAGCAAGTATATTCCCTTAAAAGGCCCTTTATAGGGTTCATTATGGGGATTATATAGCCTAATAAAGGCAAGGCAAAGAATTTATGTATAGGTTGGTCTATATGTATCTTTAACATATGTGCAGATACATTGTTTGGTAGTTGTGTTCTTGTTGTCGTTACGATACGGCATATACGCGGCTGTGAATCCAATTTGTTGTGTCGCGGGGCTTGGCCCCTGCCTCTGCTACAAGTCTGTGTCGCCCAGGGCTTGCTTCATACCCATTGTGCACGTCCTTCTGCAGCCCATAGTCTTGTGCAAACTCTAGTTCACGACTAGCTAGCTTGCAAACCTGAGAGCTGCAACTGTTGCTAGCAACTTTCTTTGCCGTAAAGGGGCTGCAGAGAGAAAGCTCCGAAAGGTTTAGGCTGCAGGGGACTAGAGCCGAAGCACGTTTTGGATTCATGGCTGTCACCGTTCAACGCTTGACATGCTTTGCTTGGATGTTTGATGGTGGCGCGCTCGTGTGCGCAATGTGCAAACGCAACACCTCAACCTCACACTCTTGGATTACAGTAAGAAGGCCTTGTCGCCGAGGGACCGACCCTGTGATACAAGCTTTGTCGCCGGGTGGCCCTCGGGGCCTGTTACAAGCCAAACTTTTTGCTTCACAGTCGTCTATATCTCTGTACAGATATATATATATATATATACAAATAAATAAAAAATAAAAATATATATATATATATATATACGTTTATTGATTATCTATTTGCATTTATATACGTAGTTTCCCCGTAAGTCTTGGACAGCCATAGCAGCTTAAGGCCTGCGATCGGCTGTCGACAGCTTTGAGCCGGCATCTTCGAGCGCGCCTCGTCATTGATGGAGAGCACTCGCGAGAAGGCCACGGTGGCCTCGTCCATCCTCTCCAGCTGCATGAGGCCAACCCCTGCAGTGAGGCGGGTTCGCGTCGCTTCGTGACAAGCCCTGACCCTAAAAGCCCTGAATCTTAGGGTTTAGAGTGGGGTTTAGGGCTCTTGGAAACCCTATCTGAAGCCCACAAACACCCTGCCACCTGTGTAACCAACGGCGCGGACGAGGCTCTGGTTGTTAGTAGGTTTTTGAGGGTATTAGTGCCCTATATATACACATTAATTAAGGGAGTATTTAGGGTATGTCTACCCTTTAAGGGAGTATATAGGGGTACCTCATTGCCTCCTTCCCTAATAAGAACCAGCCAGACACGGCCTAGGGTTTAGGTTTTTGCCCCCAACAGTACCCCAAACCCTAAACCCTAAACCCTAAACCCTAAACCCTAAACCCTAAACCCTAAACCCTAAACCCTAAACCCTAAACCCTAAACCCTAAACCCGAAACCCTGGCCTAGAGTGAACCAGATGCCCTCGAACATGGGGTTGATGTCCAGCGCCAGCTTGAAGGCCTCCACGGCCTTCGCAAGCTCCTTCCTTGGTCTCTTAGGGTAGTTGCTTAGGGTTTAGGGTTTAGGGTTTAGGGTTTAGGGTTTAGGGTTTAGGGTTTAGGGTTTAGGGTTACATGGTCCCTTAATATGAGCTTTAAGGGACCATATCCAGGGCCCAAGAGACTCTAAGGGCCCATAATACTCTTCTTGGATAATCTAAACCCAAGAGTAACCTAGGGAGAAAAAAAAGGGGTGTCACCTTTTTGGTTTTAAGGGGGGTTGTAAGGGCACCTGTTTAACCCCAACAATCGGAAACTAATTGGGGTATCCCGTTTGGGGTTTGGCTACTTTGTAAGGGATCCAAACATAACATGTCTCCAGCAGAGGCAGATTCCTAGCGCATGGCGGAAGACAGCGAGATGGACAAAGAGAGAGGCACAGCGGTATCGGTAGATACATACAAGGATGGACACTCATAACCCTAAACCCTCAACCCTAGAATCAGCCTCCATCTTCAAGTCCCAGCTTCTTTTCAAAGTAGTATTTCCCAAGGGCGCGCTGGGCCCGAGCGAAGCGCTTGTTGGAGACCTCCCAGGCCTTCCCGACTCGTGGGTCTTCTCACGGTGCAAGACAGGGCTTCTTGCTGCATGGGGGGGGGGGCGGTGCACCACCCTCAACCCCAAAACCCCGAAACCCCCTGAATCATCCCTAGGGTTTAGGGTGTAGGTTTAGCGTTTAGGGTACTGAACACCCCAACTTCAAAGTTGGCAGGTGCACGTGGAATGCAGCGCACGTGGCTGCGCATGACTCAGCAGCTTTTTCTGAAGTTAGAATAATGAATCGCTTGAAATCCTTGCAACCTCAAGCCCAGCAGTCGCCCTCGTAGACCTTGAAGTACAAGGTTTACGGTTCAGGGCAAAACTGGAAAGCATAAAAAGCCTAAACCCTAACCCCCAAACCCGAAACCCCTTAAACCCTTGAATGGCTTAGTTACTCGTCCCTTATTGTCTCTTTTTGCAACTTATTATCCCTAAACCCTAAACCCTAAACCCCTTAAACCCTTGTTGGATCCCATCCGCCTTCTCGTAGTGCGCGGGATCCTTGAGGATGTCACCAAGGCAGCACCAAAGCCGGGCAGAGGGCTGCTTTTCGATAAGCTCCTGAGCACAAGAGGGTTTAGGGTTTAGGGTTTAGGATTTAGGGTTTAGGGTAAATGTTGCACTGTTGCCCCTTCTTTGCGTTGTATGCGTATATCACCTCCCCTCACCCCCCCCCCCCCCGGTTTGAGGGATTGGAAGCTTGTCCTCAAAGAGGACTTCGCCTGCCCCCCAAACTGGCACTGGAGCCTGTGTACTCTCTGGTTTGACCATGACTGAGTCTGGCGACGAACAACTATACAGGCAGCAGAGCAATCGCCGCCGCACCATCCAGCACGACATCGAAAGACTGCGAGGTTGAACCCTGAACCCTAAACCCCTTTCAACCCAAAACCCAAAACCCCAAAAGTCCTAAACCCTTTTTTTTTTGTTTGTTTTCTCTCAACGGGCTTTGAAGCTCACAACTCACTGATGACTGAATACACTGGCAAGTGCTCCCGGAGCACCCTGTTGCCACTGGACTGCAGGCAAGCTAGACTCCCATGCACCACCAAAAGCTCTCAAGCAACTGCTAAGCGCTGGACACAGAGCAGCCACTCGCGCACAACTTCAAACAGCAGCACACTGAGTGATGACGGCGCATGCGATACGAGAAATGGGACCAGTAAATCATCACCTTACGGCCTTTCATGTTCAACCATTAACTCTGCGCGGGTGCACGACTTGAAAAAAGAACGAACAACCGAAGAATTGCCAGGGTCTGAATTTAGTTGCTGAATCATGCGGTTCTGTCTGTGTCCGTGTTTCTGCCTGAGGCCTCGTGCCCGTTCCTGCTCTTTGAACTCTTCCGCCTCCAAGGCGTTTCCTGTATCATCGCAAAGGATCACGTTGCAGCGTCTCAGCATCTTCCTGGGCAGAACAGTGACACCGTCTGCATGTTGTACCGATAGGCGAAGTGCAAGGCAGCTTGTGTGGGAGACTCCATTGCGCAAGACGGCCGAGACTCCACAGCCGTCAGACGTTCTTGTAGGATCTGGATCTTAGCCAGAAGGTCAGACACTGCGTGCATGCTGACATCTTCCTTTCCATGGCACACGTCTCATTGCAAATCGAATTGGGCAGATGTTTGCCCCTTGGAGTCTAGGAACCGAAATGGCTTGAACCAAAATGGCTTGAGCCAAATGGCTTGTGCTGTAGGCAGAAATTGCGGAGCACCCTAAACCCTAAAAACCCTATAAACCCTATAACCCTAAAAACCCAAAACCCTGAACCCTAAACCCTAAACCCTACCTATGTGTGCTGCTTCAAGGGGGCCTTGACCATGTCCTCGGCTTCCACGTTTCGTTCGGCGCAGATGAGGCACTCCACGGCCTCGGGCCACATCCTTACTTCTCCAATAACCAAGCGGAAAAAAAGGGTTTAGGGTTTAGGGTTTAGGGTTTAGCCTACTAAATAAGGAAACCCAAAAAGTTTAAAGTTCAACTAAAGGCGAAGTAAGCATCCTCAGCTTCTTGAACCTTGGCAGCTCCCGAGCTCCCGGGAGGCCACAGCAAGCGTTTTGGCAGGGTTTAGGGTTTAGGGTTTAGGGTTTAGGGCTTAGGGCTTAGGGTTTAGGGTTTAGGCTTTAGGGTTCAGGGTTCAGGGTTGAGGGTTTAGGCTTTTGGGTTTAGGGTTTAGGGAGTTGTGGGCAGGGCCGAAGTTCTTCTCCTAAGTTCACAGTTAAAGAGGTAGCTAGACATTGACTGGGCACATCAAGTGCCCGGGGCTTAAGATGAGCCGAGGGGGCTGCTCATGGGCCGTACTCATCATGCCCATCCGCATCATTCGTGTGGCCATCTCATGCTGGAGGTGAAAACCTCGGGGCTCAGACTCTTTTTTCACACCCCAAACCCTAAACCCTAAACTAAGTGAGGGGTCGCTTCCGTCGAGCGACAGACCCCGAACGCTCGGCCGAGGGCCTTACAGCCCGAGCGCCCAAGCGAAAAGAGAAACGGAAAGGTGAGGGTTAAGCCTCACCGTCTGTCCTGGACAGGCCAACGGACATCGGCCGTTTTTACGACAACGTCAGTACTCGGCTAAGGGATGGCCGGCACCCAGACCACCTTTAGCGTAGCTAAAGTATAACCCCAAATCGCAACCCTTTGCTTCTGGAGGTCGGTTCAGGGTTTTGGGTTCAGGGTTTGTAGGGCCGCCCGGCTATTGGTCCCTGGTAGCTGGATTCCTGGACCAGGAGGCTGGCGAGGGGTTGCTCAATTTCCTGATTTTGGGGGCTTTTAGGGATTTTCGGGGCCCCCCAAAACCCCCGACGGGGGGGCCAAGGGCCTTTCCGGGCCAAGGGCCCCCCAGGGCCAAGGGCCGAGGGCCCGCCCACCCTGCGGGGCCCTTGCCAAGGGCCCGACCCAGGGCCAAGACCCCGGCCAAGGGCCGGTTAAGGGCTCCCCGGGCCCAGGGTTTTCAATCAAGGGCCAGGCCAAGGGTTTTTTCTTTTTGGCTTTCCAGCCAAGGGTTTTGGGGCCAAAGGGCCGGCCAAGGGCCCCCGGGCCAAGGGAAGCCCCGAAGGCGCCAAGAGCCACCAAAAGGCTTCAAAAGCTTCAAAAGGCCCACTAAAGGAAGGGGGACCAAGATTTGTCCGTGCCCACAATGAAAAATGCGATTTTTGAATATTGAAAACGATGGTTTTAGGCACCCCTGCCCGCAATGAAAACTGTTTTTTTTAGTACTGAATTCGATGGCTCCCCCCAAATCAGCAAGGACCTCTACGGGCCCTGACGTGCCGAAGGCCCGAAAAGGACCGAGGCTACCCCGAACCCCAACCTAAACCCTAACACCGCAAAACCCTACGACGGCCTTCAAGTAAATAAGGGCCTCTACGGGCCCTAACGTGCCGAAGGCCCGAGAAGGGCCGAGGCTACCCCGAACCCCAGCTTAAACCCTAATACCGCAAAACCCTGCGAAGGCCTTCAAGCAAATAAGGGCCTCTACGGGCCCTAACTTGCCGAAGGCCCGAAAAGGGCCGAGGCTACCCCGAACCCGAGCTTAAACCCTAGCGATTGAAATACTCATTGGCGAAAAATTCATTAATAGGTTCAAGGTTCCCTGACCTTTAAATGAATAGAACCTCTGACACGCCGAAGGTCCGAACAAGGCCCCGAGAGACCCCAAGAGCCACCAAAATGCTTCAAAAGGCTTCAAAAGGCCCCCTAAAAGAAGGGGGACCCCAGGATGCCCGTACCCACAATGACAAATGCGATTTTTTGGTAGTGAAATCGATGCTAAATTGAGGCCCTTAAAGAAGGGGAATCCAGGAGCAGACACATAGGGTTTCCCTGACCTTCAAATAAATAAGGGCCTCTACGGGCCCTGACACGCCGAAGGCCCGAAAAGGGCCGAGGCTACCCCCAACCCTAGCTTAAACCCTAACAGCGCAACTTTAAAAACATCAAAGCAAGCATCAGAACACAAGAAAGTAAATTCCATAAACCCTAAACCCTAATAGAGTATAGTTTGGGTGGCCGGGGTGGGTTGACGGGCAACGCGAGCGCGCGGCCCGGGGTGTTTCACACCCGAGCGCGCGCCCTCCCCTGACACACCCTAAACCCTAAACCCTAAACCCTTTGGGGCACTCTTGTCACGAAGTATCGGGTCTGGGTTCGGGACTTCAGGGAGGCTGACAAGACTTTGGCGACTGCCTACTTGGAGGTTCATGGGTACAGTACTTATAACCCCAATTATAAGTCCACTAAGAACCTACTTGGTGGACTTAGGGGGCTTGTAAGTACAGTTACCATTGCAACCCCCAAACCCCCTAACCCCCTAACCCCCAAACCCTAAACCCTAAACCCTAAACCCTAAACCCTAACCTCCAAGTACCACCCCTGTATGAAGCCCGGAGACGGGCCGGATACCCGGCACTGTGGACCGTGCGCAGCCGGTGGGCCGCAGAGGGCCGCTCGTCCGCAAACCTGTACTGAGCTTGGAACCCCAGCAAAAAAAAACAATCTGTTGGCTGTTTCTTAGGAATTATAGTGCCCAAACATTAGAATTTCCTGTTTCTTAGGAACTCTACTGCCCAAAGATTATAATTTTTGCTGTTTCTTAGGAGTTATAGTGCCCAAAAGCAACAATAATAATCATAGTATAACTACTAATAATAATAAGAATAATAGTTAAAAAAAGCTTGTTTCCAACGTACCCCTAAGAAACTGGTCCACCAAGGACTGAAGTTGGAAGGCCGCGCGCTCGCGAGTCTTATTCCGATGATGCTCGGCTCGGCAGCGGTACCATAGGCCACAACCTTTGGGGAAAAACCCTAAGATTGGGTTTAGGGTTTAGGGTTTAGGGTCTAGGGTCTAGGGTCTAGGGTTTAGGTTCATGAATACTGCTCTGCTGGTACTACTCCCTCTTTCGTATGGACCCTAAAGCCGTATGTAGGGACCATGTTTCGTCCCCAAGGAACTGAACGTCAGCCAGTTGGCCGTGAAGAGGGGTCCTTCGTTTGCTTCCTCCTCACGCGCCTTGTCTAGCGTCTTGACGACGCGCTGTGCCAAGGAATTGATCTCCTGCAGCACCATTTCGTCGTTGGGGTTGCTTGATGCCCAGATGTACTGACACCGGGAGAGAAGGATGATCTGTTCAGTGGCTGTCAGGGGTCGTTCAATTTCCAGCCGCTCCTGCTCGCCCACGGACTTTGAAAGCTTTGGGACCTCCAGAACGTCCGTCAAGTCATCCACGGTTTTCAGGCTGAGGGTCTCGGGTGTTTTGGCATCTGGCTCTTCGACTTCAATTCCTTTCGTGCTCTTATGGCTCCTGGCTCGCACCACCAGCTGTGCAAACTCCGTAGTCTGGTGCTCCCGTTTGATGCCCATCACGCCCGTGAGCTCATACTCGAACCCAAGAGCATTGCAGGCAGCATCGCAGCTCTTTTCCCAGACCTTGACACGGCCATACCAACAGAGTCGGTTTGCCAGTTCAACAAGCATCGTTGCCCGAACCTCGGGGGGCGCCTCCTCTACTGCATCCGGAGCTTGCGCCTCTGCGCGAGCCGGCGGGTTGAAAGCATCCAGCATGGCTTCCAAGGCATCACTGCCCTCCTCTTGGGCCTCCTGGACCTCGATGACCTCGGGCACGGGCACCGTGATGGCTGGTGGCCTCTCGGAGGATCGCTTCCAGGTCTCCAAGAGGGGAGCTGTCGCTGCCTGGATGGTGGACAACGCAGACGCATCCATGAAGCCCTTGGCCGACAGCGGGGCTGGATCACCTGACACCAGTTCAAAGACGCCCGCCCGGAAGAGCGACGGGCACTGGCCAGAGCCTCGTTCCGAAGCCTCCGCCAGGCTGAGCTGCCAGGCAAAAGCGCAGCGAGCACGCCAGAAGGGCACGGCCACACCATGCAGCTCCGGCATCTCACTCGGCACCAACCGGAAAAAGAGGGCCGAAAGCCAGAGGTATCCGGGGCAAGCCAGAAGCTCGTACGCTGGCTCTCCATCGGCTTCCAAAGCCGGGAGGATAGCAGAGTGAGGCGGGCCTTCGGCAAGGGCAGAAGGGTGGAAGGGTAGGCAGGCATGGTCCTCCTCCTTGACTGGGCCCGTGCAGTTTGCCCGCAGGTAGTGCTGCAGAAACACCACCCCGAGCATGCACAGAGCTTGCTCCCGAACCAGCCTGCTGCCTGAAGGAGCATTCGCGAAGGACTTGCATGCCTCAACCAACTCCGCCCTAAGGTGGGGAAGCCCACCAGCAGCCAAGGCAGCATCAACTGCCTCACGCTTGAGCACGACAGAAACATCCTGCAACCATGGGTCCGAGAGCACTGTCGCCAGCTCACCTGGGGGTTTCCGAGATTTGGGGGGGTACCTTATTGGGGTCCTTATTATACGTAAGGGAATCGAATCTTGTTATTTGGGGGTCTATATCAGGGGTCCCGTATTTTCGAAAACCTCCACCTCCTCGAGTCGGCTCTGCAAGCTTCTGCAAGTTTGTGCATTCGACCTCGTTGGTGCCACCCACGTCGACTTTGGGGACAAGGCTACCAGGTTCCAACGACAGCAAGGCCCACTCGGTTCTCTGCAAGAAGCATCTCAACTTCGCGTCCATGACTTCTCACAGCCTGCTGGCTATTCGATCCTGGCCTTTACTATGCTGTGCTTGCATATACAATGACAGGCTAACTGACGGTCCACACTGCTGCGCGTAAGAAAGCGGCTCAGCTACTCTGACGAGGCACCACCTCATGGTCGTTTCATGAACTCACGTCCCTCCTTGCGGATCATGTGTGCCAGTGTTTGGGCCTTCGGCGAACCACCAAGTGACCACATGCCAGATGTGCAAGGGCTTACCGTCCAGGTTTAGGGTTTAGGGTCTAGGGTTTCAGGTTTAGGGTTTAGATGTCAGGAACAGGCGCTTGCACTTTCCATCGCTCTTTGCGATGTAGTTGTATCCCAAGCACAGTCAAGCCAGATCTGCCAATGCAATCTGAGGCTGCAGCTGTACACATAGCCTGTAGGGACTCGCCTATGGCCACTTGGTGCAGGAATGGACACACTACTGCCAACCACCAATCACAAGGCACATCGTATGAGAAACCCGTCTATGCGTGGAAGATCAAGGCTGTTGGGGTTGTGGCTCCTATGTCGCAAAGAGAAGCAAGCATTTCTTCCCCCGTTCTGCGCACACACACGAGTGAAGTTCAGCACAGAGCAACCCTAGATGCAAAACCTGGGCTTCACCACGAAGCCTAGCTGGATTTTTTTCACTGTCTGAGTTTAAGGCTTGCTTACCCCTCCCTCCCCCTTCCACATATGCATTCGCGTCTGCGGTGGGGCGGGGGGGGGGACCTCAAGCGCAGGACCCCCTTTCTGCCACAGCTCTGCCATGAATCCCCAAGCCCGAAGCCCTTCAGCCCTCACAGCATCTTCAAACTCCAGAAGCCCCGAACTTGTAGGGTTTAGGGTTTAGGGTTTAGGGTTTAGGGCCCCTCTAGCATCCCAAGCCCTGAGAACCCCTCCAGGAACCAGGAGCCACGCCCCACGACTGGGCAACAGCGAGGCACTGCCTGCCCGCGCCTGAAAAACAATTCAGAGGGTTTAGGGTTTAGGGTTTTAGGGTTTTAGGGTTTTAGGGTTTTAGGGTTTAGGGTTTTAGGGTTTTAGGGTTTTAGGGTTTAGGGTTTGGGGTTTTGGGTAAAACAATCCAGGTTTGGCTTTTGCTCCCAAAGAGCTGGGCTGGGCAAGCCGGCCGCAGGAATGTCCGCGGTATCTGAAAGCCCCAACAAATCAGGATGATATGATGTAGGGTTTATATTTTTTGTATCCCCAAAAAGGACACCCAATACATACACTTACCAATTTTAAAAAGGAACCTTATATACACCCGCCAAAAAAAAGCAATATAAACTCTGTTTCATATTCCCATCCATTTCGCGAGTCAGAGGGTCGAATCGAAGAGTAAACAAACCCTGGAATCTGTGTCTTGCTACCCTCTGTTCAATACTCAATGGATAAGCCACGGAAGACCTGGCCGTTAGCGGTTGGGGTCATGGACCTCTGGATTAATAACTTAGGGCTTTGTGCCACCAGTCATGCAGACGAAACTAAGAACCTCAAGCCCACCCCCCCCCCCCCCCCTCCTGGGCTTCCCTGCTCTCCCCCACCCCCCCCCCCCACCCCAAGAAAAAAACTTGCACCGCTGACTTAGCCGACCCAGCCACGGGCTGGAAACTGTGAACAGCACGCTGCCTCCGAGCCCTACAGACCCCTTCGCAATGAGAGGAGCTCCCGCTCGGGTGCCATTGCTTGGCAACGTCAAACCCTAAACCCGAAACCCTAAACCCTAAACCCTAAAGCCATCTGAGCTCCGTGCCAATGGCTTTTGAATGGGCTGTTGAGTGACTGCCTTGGAAAAGTGGTCCAAGGTTGCAAACCGCAGGGTCGAGAATACTCGAGCTGAGTCAAGCAGATACCCTTCACGATTTCGGTCCTTGCTTGGTACCCCAATGTGCCGTTTAGGGTTTAGGGTTTAGGGCTTAGGGTTTGGGGTTTGGGGGTTTAGGGTTAGGGTTCCGATCGCCGGGGCTGGGGGACTCCAGAGGATGAGGTTGAAAAGCAGTTGCATACATCGCCAATAATTATACAATTATATCTTGGGTGGCCCGTCAAGTGCACATGCAATACAGGGGCGATGCCTACAGGCCATGTGGGCAGAAACCCGAATTCCCCATTCTTGCATCCGGGCTACGATGTCCCGGAAAGACCCAGCAACACTCTGAGAACCCAGCACGCGTGGCTACGACCGAAAACCTTGCGAATCCATGGAAACCCTAAACTTTACCCTAAACCCTAAACCCCTAAACCCCTGAACCCCTGAACCCCTAAACCCCTAAACCCCTAAACTCCTAAACCCCTAAACCCTATCTGGGAATCTCGGAGTTTTCGGAATTCTCACCGCTTGGATCTTGGCTGCTGCGCTTCCAACAGCTGCTCCCAGACCTTGTGAAGCTCAAAGAAAGGTGCAACGGGGGGGTTTAGGGTTTAGGGTTTAGGGTTCAGGGTTAGGGGGGTTCCAAGAACAAAAGTACTCTTTCTGCGGGCTCCTATAATATGGACCCTGCTATTTTGGAGATGCTTCTTGTCTAGACCGCCCCGGTTTTTGGTGGGGGGGGGGGGGGGGGGGGAATACCCCTAAACCCTAAACCCTAAACCCTAAACCCTAAACCCTAAACCCTAAATCCCTAAACCCCAAACCCTACGCATGAGATTGCCAAGTCGAGGGTTTGGAGTGGAGAGGAAGACGAAGCCCTTGAGGCGAGCATGTGGGGGTTTACGAAAATAGGGGACCCCTAATACAGACCCCCAAATAGTAGGATCCCCCTACAATAAGGACCCCAATAAGATGGCACCCCCAAAATATCGCAAACCCCCATGTCGGTTTTCAAGCGTGCGGGGTGTGGAGAGCCGCGTACCATGGGCTTGCGCTGGCCCACATCGGTGAAACATCTGTCTAAGAGTCCATAACAACAGGATAGTTCTCCAAAATTAGGGTTGATTCTTTGTGGGTCCCCTAGATAGTACGGCGCGCCGTTGCAATAAGGACCTAAACCCTAAACCCTAAACCCTAAACCCTAAACCCTAAACCCTAAACCCTAAACCCTAAACCCTAAACCCTAAACCCTAAACCCACCAAAAAAAGGGACTCATTCTTTAGAGAGAACTACCCAAAAACGCGCAATCAGGACTGCGGTTGTGTCTTTGCCAACCCTCGGTCCGCAGTCCCATCGGTTTAGGGTTTAGGGTTTAGGGTTTAGGGTTTAGGGTGACAGCTTCGACTTTGGAAGCACCGGAATCCTTGGAGCACTCGCCTCTCTCCTGTGGCGTCAGGCTCCGCACCATTGGCCACCCGTCCGCATCCTCACCAGCACAAATTGGGAGGCTCCTACGTGACCCGCAGAGCACCCTGTTGAACAAACCCGAAACCCGAAACCCTAAACCCTAAACCCTAAACCCTAAACCCTAAACCCGAAACTAAAAGCCCAAGGCTCTTTGACCACTGTCAGTGGCGGCCAAAGCCATGCGCCAGCCATTCGCAAGGCCATCAGCAGGAGCAGGTACTTGCTGCCTAGCTTGGCCAGAAACAAACCTCAGACAGCCACCCATCTGGCTATTGAGATGTCAAGTGGGGCATCGCAGAGTTCGTTGGGGTAGCGACCTAGGGACCTAAGCCCATGCTAAAGCCTTGACGCTTTCAGAAACCCTATTCTCCCGAAACCCAAAAGAAGAATGAAACATGAGCTACCTCAAGCCAATCATACTTTCAGATATGGTGAACCATGCACCCACCCTTTACACGGAGGAAAGTTTGGCGTGAGGCATAAGGTGTGAGAAGGGATCCCTGCGACTACAATGCTTTCGGGGCTGGGGCATTTGGACCACTGCACCAAGTTGCTAAGCTTTTCGAAGCCGCCTTGCCCCAAGCAGTCTCGGACAGAGAACAAGATCCAAGTGAAGATGTTGGGCATGATCCTGACTGCGCATCTTGCTTAGGACATTCAGTAGATTTGCGGAGGGCCAGCAAAGCATTTACTAACACAGACATCCCCCTTCGATTTATCTGACTCCTCCAAAAAGATTAACCTCGCTGTTTGATCGGCTGAGCGGCACCGGCATCAGATAGAGAAGCCATCTGCCTCGAGTGGCGGGCAGAAGATGCTCTGATGATTTGAGTTCAACCTTTGGTAATCGCTACCTCAAGGTTTGGGACTTCGAAGGCCCGCGCCCCAGAAGGGTAGTCTCTTGACAAGGGAGTCTTCTGGCTGGGCAGACAAACCCTCCCTCAACCCTTTTGGGGAGTCGGCCGGAATCAGGATCCCTCAACCCTAAACCGGAAACCCTAAACTCCCCTAAACCCTAAACCCTAAACGCTAAACCCTCCCTCCAGCTTAAGGGTTCCCGACACGAAGCAATCCGAGACCTGATCTCCAAAGCTGCCCCGTCAACAGAATGACCACCCCCACCCAACTCCAAACGTTTTAGGGTTCAGGGTTCAGGGTTTAGGGTTTCGGGTTCCTCCAAAAACGCTACAGTTGGGTGCCTTCCACCCCATATGACTTGCTGTACGTGCAGCATTGGGGCTTAAAGACTTGGAGCCTGTGATTGTCTCAGGGGCTGAATACCCTAGCCCAAAAAAAGTTTACCTTTCAAAATTTTCAATTTACGTATAGTAGGAGTCTATATAACCAAAAAGGCTAAAGGTTACCTACCCAGTCCCTAAGTTGTTCGAGTCGAGGAGCCCATGGGTTGCGAGAGCTTGGCCCACAACGTGGCTCTCACCGAAGCGAAGCTGGGGCGATGGGGCCCCTGTGGCAACGAAGAGAGGAGAAGAGGGAACACCCGACAAAACCAGACCCTTAATGCTACCTTGGGACTCCACTTGCCTCCAGCTTTGTGGGTTAGACCCGCGAATTCAAGGTCATTGCTGCTATGCTGAAGGTCTACAAGTACCTTCGATACCTGATACAGCTCCTGCAGGAGCATTTCAGTTCTGTGACAAAGGTGTTCTCCAGCGCTCTTGGAGTGAAAGGGCCTTGGGCATCCAATAGAAGTCCGGCAAAACGATTCCTAACTTTGAACGACGGCACGAGGTCAGACTGCTAAGTTCTGTGCGTTGAGTTTCGGGGGAGAGAAAAATCGGTCCTCTGGTTTAAGCCTAGAAACCCTCTCACAGAAAATATCCACGATCCTGTGACGATTCTTCTTCTCAGTCTTGAGATTCGTGTTCTTAACATATATGCTGTAGTAATATACATATATATATATATACATATGAATAAAAATATAAGTATAAATATAATATAAATATAAATATAAATATAAATATTTACACACATACATATGTGTGTACACATACACAATCTGTTTTCCTGCTACTACGAATGTGATGAACCGCATGAATATTCCAGATTCCGCATCTTCTTCATGTCAGTATAATGCAAAACTCAAGCACAAGCCGCAGGCCCACTTGTAAGGTTAAGGGAGCTTAAACCCAGAGAGGAACCCCACCTACAAAAAACAAAACACAAAACGGCAAATGTACCGTAAGGACGGGTCCAGTTCTCTTCTTTCCGGCTGTTTGTTTGTACTTTGGCTCGGATGTGAAGACCTTTTTTTACCGGAAACAGTATACCCAAGCCCCTAGACTCTAGACCCCCCTCCAAGCCCCAATAGTGAAAGGCAGGCCTGCCCCCAAAGCCGCAGGAAGGCGGAGACGAGAAAGCCCCGTGCAGTCACAGCCGCCACGATGTCGCCGCAGGCAAACAGGCCCTGACTGTCGAGCGATTGTAGGGTGCACGGGGTTTAGGGTCCCGACACCCTCAACCCTAGACCCTATAAACCCTGTAAACCCTATAAGCCCCAAAGCCCAGCTGACCTGGTTGAGGGCTGAGGGTTTGGAATTGAAAGGTGCGAACGTTTGAGTGCTTCTGCTTCAATGCGGACTTCTGCGTCGACCCTCGCTCTCACCATTAGGCTCAAGATAGCCCAAAAAGCCTTCTGTAACAAGGCCTTTCGGCCCAAAAATCCAAAAAGAAGAGTCCTTGGAGCCTTAAGGTCACACAGGTTACATACTGCCACCGGCATAGCGGATTGAGGTCTATAGCAGAGGCGGTTTAGGGTTTTAGGGTTTAGGGTTTGATGTTTGTTTACCGGGCCAAAAAGGTATAAACGCAAAACTTTAAATCCTAAACCCTAGGGCCCTAGGGCTCAAGGCTTCTGGGAATGCTTGCCAGCTCAGCTGATCGTCATCCGTCGTCTATAGATTGCAAGGTCGCCCCCCCCCCCCCCCCACTCCCACGCCAAATGGCATGGGTTTAGGGTTTAGGGTTTAGGGTTTAGGGTTTAGGGTTTAGGGTTTAGGGTTTAGGGTTTAGGGTTTAGGGTTTAGGGTTTAGGGTTGAGGGTTGAGGGTTGAGGGTTGAGGGTTTAGGGGTTGCGGTTTAGGGTTTAGGGTTTAGGGTTTAGGGTTTAGGGTTTAGGGTTTAGGGTTTAGGGTTTAGGGTTTAGGGTTTAGGGTTTAGGGTTTAGGCTATTTCAGGTCCCCATGCCGGCCAGAATTCACCCGACGTGGTTAAGTTAAAGCCGGCCAAGATGGACACCAGCTGCGTCCCAGTCTCGGGTCAGTACTGTGACTAGACAAGCGACCCCTGGACCCTAAACCCTAAACCTTTTGTTGCATCCGGACTCCTGTGGGGGTAAACCCTACGCCCTTTTTGCTAAACCCTAAACCCTAAACCCTAAACCCTAGGCCCTAAACCCTCAACCCTAAACCCTAAACCCTAACTCGCGCAGGCGAGTGCTTGCCAAGACGCTAGCAGAGCCATCGCTGCCACCACTCCCACCACAGTGTCTACAGCCACCTCAGTGGACTCCCCTAAAGCTTCGGGCATCGGATAAAAAATATGATACTAACGCGCTATATTATACTATATTTTTCATATTACTAGATTTTCATGTACTATATGGTCTGTTATTGTTAGTACTATTGGAATATGAGTACGGATTTATATGATTCAAATATCATTTTGGACTGTGAAATTCGTATTTGCTATATCATGTCATCTCAGATTATAGTATGTACTTGCTATTCCTATTCTATTTTCAATGTTGTCTTTTTCTGGTTATTTGGTTGTACTGCTATGCTGTGGGATGTTTCCCTTATACTTCTTTCTGGATTCTAGTGCCCCCTACTATAATCCCTATTAAGGACTGCTAGTATAAGGGGGAACATCCCACGTTGTACTGCATGTATTTGTGCGATTTTGAAGTTAAGGCTGCCGCACTGACCGCCACCCAGATGAGGAAGATCGGAATGCCGCAAAGCCCAGCATCCAGCAGTTCCGTGAAAGCGGCGACGCATGGCGTTTGCTGGCACATGTCGAACACCTTGGGGACCAAATGAACCCTAAAAAGGGTTTACGGCTCATATACCTGAATAGGGATTGTAGTAGCATAGGGCGTAAGACCCGAATTTTTAGGGCAAGCCACATACCGCGCGCCACACAACTCGCACTTGAGCGCGCTAAAGGGCGAAGTGGACAGACAGTGGAGCTGCCACTGAAGCAAGCAGCGCCGGTGTATCCAGCGAATCGATCCAGAGCACCTGCATCGGCCAAGTGGCTTTACTCTTCGCGCATAAGGGCCACAAGACCATACTAATATGACAGTATAACAGCTCTAACTCAGTCGCCATAACACAACATCCCCCGTCCCAAAGATGTCGATCAAGGCAAGCCCATATAAGCACCCGCCTCTGAGACCCTTGGGTTTTGGGGCCGAAAGTTTAGGGTTCAGGTCGTAAACCCTTTAGGGTTTTTTGCCACCCACCAAGCGGACCAGCCACTCAGCAGGGGAACAACTTCGGGACGACGATGTGAGAAGGAGAATACTCAGCTCATTGCAACAGGGTTTCGGACGTATGCGAGAATGTGGGACCCTCACAGAACCCCCAGAATAGTAGGATCCCCTTATACTAAGGACCCCAATAAGGTACCCCCCCCCCCCCCAAGATCGTGAACCCCCTTGTCAGAACAGCAGCCAAAGAAAGGCTCCAACCCAAGAGCTGATCCAACCCTAAACCCTAAGGCCTTAAACCCTAAACCCTAAACCCTAAAGCCTTAAACCCTAAACCGGAGCTCTCTTGTTTTCAGCCCGTTTGAGAAACCCTAGACCAAGCTCCTGTCGAGCCTATGAAAAAACTCAGCCTAAACCAGTTTGAACCTTTTTGCAAAAACACTAAGCCCAACTCCTAAACCCCAAGATCCCCTTTGAACCCGATTCAAAACCCGAAGCGCCCAATAAAGGGTTTAGGGTTAGTAGGGCTTGGGTTTAGGGTCTAGGGTCTAGGGTTTTAGGGGTTTTAGGGTTTAGGGTTTTAGGGTTTTAGGGTTTTAGGGTTTTAGGGTTTTAGGGTTTTAGGGTTTTAGGGTTTTAGGGTTTTAGGGTTTAGGGTTGCACCAGCAGGGCTCCAGGAGCTCCCCCGCCGGTTCCGACGCCTGGCAAACCTTGGACTGGCGTGGCTTCTCGGGCCATTCGGGCTTGGGGGAAGGAAGGCAAATATGGAATGTGGCAATTAAGGTTCAGGGTTTAGGGTTTAGGGTTCAGGGTTTAGGGTTTAGGGTTTGAGGTACTAAAGGTCCGGTATTCGGTTTGGGCGCTCCCGAGCTGGCACCGTACACGTCACTCTGAGGGGGCCTCCCTAGAAAAGCTGATGTCTGGCACAGGGAGCAGTGCTCTCTGATACCTGGGACCCTGTTTGTAAATATCGGGTTTAGGGTTTAGGGTTTAGGGTTTAGGGGTTAGGGGGTTATACCGTACCTTATACCTGGGTGCCATTGGCTTCCCTGGCCGACTGGGACTTCTTCCAAATTCCTTTCCCTGCTTGGTGTTTATGATCACTCATATAATCCCCTAAGATTCCATGTAACTACCTAAACAGGGAATTTGCTTGGGCCTTGAGGTACCTCCCATTTAGGGACTTTAAGGCCCGAGCACATAACCATGAGGTACATGCACCCTTAGGGGTCGTATCTATCAATACCCAATACCACCACTTACTTGGCTTGCAGCTCAAGGGCGCCTTATAACTAATAGGTTTGGGAGCTTTGTCTGGGCTTGCTACACCCTCCGAAGCCGTGAGGGTTTAGGGTTTAGGGTTTAGGGTTTAGGGGTCCAGAATTCTCCTTTTTTTGGGGGGGTGTACTTCGGGATCAGGGTGGCCCTCTGATTGGTTTTTTTTTGCCACCCGCTTAGCTGACCTCTCGGACACTCTGCAGGGAAATTGGGTTTAGGGTTTAAGGTTTAGGGTCGGGTTTAGGGTTTAGGGTTTAGGGTTTAGGGTTTAGGGTTTAGGGTTTAGGGTTTAGGGTTTAGGGTTTAGGGTTTAGGGTTTAGGGTTTAGGGTTTAGGGTTTCGGACCAGAAACCCGGCAAATTGGCTCCTCCAGGCAGTCGCAGGGGGGAGAAGGCACGGACATGGTTGCGTGCGGCCGCGTCTCCATTCACAGAAAGGGAGGAGGCGGCATTTACAGCGGGGTGCAAGTTGGCTTCATGGGTTTGGGACCCTAAACCCTAAACCCTAAACCCTAAACCCTAAGCCCTAAGCCCTAAACCCTAAACCCTCGGGAGGCTTGCAGCAAGGTATGAAGTGTGTACTCATCACCTGGACGCTTTATAGCTGGAGCCATCCGACATATGCTACAGTTCGCCCAAGCCCGCAACCCTGAGCCCACGGCCGGTCACAGAAGCTGCAAGCAAAGCGGGCTCTTGATCGTGTGGCACATGAACACTAGACCCAGGAGCAACCTAGGAATAAAAAGGGTGCCCTTTTTAGAACCCCAACCCCTAAAAAAAGGAAATAAGGGCCACTCCGGGCCCTTGAACAACACGGCTGTGCCACCTTTTTCGCCGCCGCCTCGACCCTCCAGCGGCCCAAGCTTGTCTACCTGCTTTGCAAGGCGAAGTAGACACCTTCCCCTACAGGGTCATCTAGGGGGAGGGGCAGGGGGTATATAAGGACACAAGATCTCTCTGGGGGGGGTGGGGGGGGGGGGGACTACAAAGTCTCTTAAAGAGCGAACTAGCAAGGGAGGCATAAGGGACCTGAGTCCCTAATTGCCGCGTCAGACCTGGGGGGTAAGCTTTGAAGTCCTTTCCTCCTTACGTTAATCGAACGTAAAATATAAGAGGGTGCAGCCAAGAAGAAACCTGAAAGTTGCCCTTACATCCTTTTTTGCTTAAACAGGATCCTCGGGGGCCGCGTGTCCTAGCCCTAAACAGGTTAACCTTTTAGATACAGTAGGATTCTATGTAAACAGAAAGGTTAAAGGCCTATCCAGTCCCTAAGGATCATTAGGAAATCAACACAAACACAAAAATAAGTTGAGAATGATAGCAGCATTACGAGCGCGAACATGCCCACTGAGCTTAAAACGTATGTTCAAACACAAAAGGCAAAGTAGTCATTGTAATCATAGTATCCGTAAGTAGGAGGAGTAATAGTTGTAGCAGGAGGACTTCTCTACTACTACGACAACGATGGCCACCACTACTAGCACAACCACTGTCTAATACAATGAATTACCGGAAATACGGGAAAAGTAAGAACCGTACTGGTTGCAGCAAAAACAGTAGCAATCGTACTTTAAATAGCTGTCTTCGACGATTTCTCTCTCACTCGCGGTCTTCCCTTGTTCCTTGTTCTCCCTTCCCCGCGTTGACTTATTCCTTTCGTTAGTGTTTTCCGTCTTTTTTTACCTCTCGCTCTGCCATCTATTTAGCAAGGCAAATAGTGTGGTGATCGAATTCTAAGGTTGATTGATGGGCTTATGTGTTGATCGATTGCTTCGTAAAAAGAGCTGGCCATCATTGAGAGAAGTGGCCACGATCAATTCAGGTGGGATGTTGGCCCAAATTGTTGGGCTCCATGGGGTCTCGATTGTAGAAAATTATCTCCAGGGCTTTAGGTTGAGAGTTTAGGGTTATAGCTAGTTTCGGGGCCCGGAGTTTTTATCGCTTGGCCAGGCCTGGGCGGTCGCTTCGCACCAGCCAGCCACGAGCTTTGCCTCGGGTGTATGCGGGGCGAGAAGAGCCGTGCGATGTGAGGGAGGCTACCAGGATGGGCTATTCGGCCCTACAATCCATAGTCAACCCTATACAGGGGTTCTTCTACGGGTTATAGGCAAGGGTAGTGCAAGCTTCCGGCCTGCGATGGTGAAACGCCGTCTGACTAAGTCTTCGACTTGCTACAATCCATGCCCATGCTAACAGTGCAAGACTCTACGGAAAGCAAGCAAGAGCAACACCTTGGAATGTTCCCCCTTATACGAACAGTCCTGAATACGGGTTACAATAGTGGCACTAGAAGGACCGTTAGTATAAGGGGAAGATCCCAAGCAATACCGATCGTCCGCAGCCAGTAGCCCAATTAGGTTGTGTCGAGCAGCGCATCCAGGTCACCTGGGTGTTTCCCTGGCCATGGAGGGGGGCGGTGAGGTACGGTATACTTGGAGGTTCATGGGTAGTTGTAACTAGGGTTATGAGTACTCCAAGCAGGGGTATAACTACAGTTTAGTTACCATACTTATAAGTAGGGTTATGAGTACTCTAAGAAGGGCTATAAGTACAGTATAGTTACCATACTTATAACCCTACTTACAACTACCCAATGAACCTCCAAGTACCGACCTTCTGAGGCAAAAACCATTCCGAGCCAAGTTTGCAATGACATTGTTCCGCTGAGATGGAAACTGAGAGCTTCTTGGGAAGTTTTGGAAGCCTACGGCCCAGGAAAGGAAGCTGTTGGGCTCTCCAGGGTGTGACCTCTTGACTGCTTCAGTTTTCCTTGCGCAAAAAAGAGGCCCCAAATTAGGTGACAGACAGCCACCAGCCCACCAGGATTCACTTCAATGGAATGTTTGTTTCGGGTTTCGGCTTTAGGCTTTAGGGTTCAGGATCACTTTGATTTCAAAGGGTCGCCGTGAAGCCTTGCCTCCCAAGGAGCCTCGTCCCGAAGGGTTCTTGCATTTTAAATACAACTAGGTTTAGGGTGTTTGGGGTTGTTAGGGTTTTTAGGGTTTAGGGTTTAGGATTGAGCTCAATACTTTAGCCGAAGGCGCTTCATCTGGCCTCCCATCACCTAGTTTGGAAGAAGGTCCCGTCTTAGAATGAAAACACGACGTTCGACAAGCACTTCCTCTTTCTTTCTTTCTTTCTTTCTTTCTTTCTCTCTCTCTCTCTCTCTCTTTTTCGCTCTCTCCAAGCCTCCACAGTGGGCCAGCACGTCCCAGGTCTCCGCAATCTGCTCCGGCGGGACCTTCGCCAGGCCTGTGCACTGCAGCCCTGCATGCTGCCGCACGGCGGCCAGGAAGGGCGATGCTCTCGGATCTTGGGCACCTGCTTCCAAGGCTTTCTTGGCCTTTGGACCGGGTGTTCGGGCCGGCACTGTGGCGTTGGCGGCACCAGACTCGTTGCGCCTCGGGGGCAGGTCGCCCTCCTCGCAGAGGAGCTCGACCAGAATCGGGTTCCGTTTCAGAGCCGCTGCATACCAAACCAAACCCCGGCCCGCGATGTCAGTGGCTCCCAGGTCCAGGTTTTGAGGCGCCTGCCTCAGGAGCCTGAGCGTGGCAGCATCCTCGGCGGAAAATGCCGCCGAACGCCCTGCAGAGTCTGTCGCCAGCACCATGTCTGGAGCATGGGAGTGCATCTGGGACAGAACCTAGTCTAGGTCATGGTTGGGATAGTATTGAAGATCAAATTTTGGTTTATTCCTTACTTAGTTGAAGTAACCCTTAAAAATGGAAAATGTTACCTCACTATAACAAAGGGACCCATTCAGTGGCCGCGCTGGCATTCACGCGGGGCTGCAGAGCACCAGACAGGTTCGCCTGCACGGACGTTGTCGACTACAACTGCGCGACACCCGCACGCTGACGAACCCAAACCTGCATGTAATGGCGTGTGTTCAATATATATATATACATATATATATATATATGTGTATGTATATATATATATGTATATGTATATGTGTATGTATATATATATATATATATGTGTGTGTGTGTATATATATATATTATAACTACACATTACATCAGTACATGCGTGCACACGCCACCACTACGCTATAGCTTGCTGACAGGCGGGGTACAGCCTCGCGGCCCTGAAGCTCTGATGCGCGGCTGCCGCCTGCAGCCGCATGATGGAGCACCGTGCGGCCCTCGGAGTCGCGGCAAAAAAGGCCGCCGTGGCCCTGGCTTCGCAAGACGGCCCGAGCCAGCTGCAAGTCCTAGAGGTGTGGTTGCCATTCTTTGGAAGTCGGAGGTGTTCTAGCCTGTTTGACTCGCATTCTGGAAGTTTGAACAGCTCTCTCGACATTGCGCCTTGTGTCAAGTTGCTTGTAGACTCAGTTTCTTCAGGAAGTTGCACGCTACGTCGAACCCTTATTGCACCTTCTTACTGTTGGTTAGCAGGGAATGGGGGAATGAGGTACCCTATATAGCCCCTTAAAGGGCATACATAGGGCCCCTAGTTCCCTCATTCCCTGCTAGTTAACCAACAGTAAGCTTCAGATGTCCTTGCGCCCAAGGGCCGCATGCAACAGCGTTCGCTGGTCCGAGAGCCGGAGGCAGCCGAGGTCTCTGAGTGCTTGGGGCGGGAGATCGGCGCTTGCGTTCCCTGACAGCAGCCTCAGGGTTTGGGGTTTGGGGTTTGGGGTTTAGGGTTTAGGGTTTTGGGTTGGTTTAGGGTTTAGGGTTTAGGGTTTAGGGTTTAGGGTTTAGGGTTTAGGGTTTAGGGTTTAGGGTTTAGGGTTGTAGGGTTGTAGGGTTGTAGGGTTGTAGGGTTTAGGGTTTAGGGTTTAGGATCAAGCATGCACGAAGTCCCCTAATTCCTACGCAGTTTGGGGGCAAGAAGCTTCAGGCGCTCCGAATTCCTGCGCCCTGTACAGGGATGCAGAACAACTAGGGTGCGACGGGACCTTTACCCTAAACCCTAATAACTAATAACCCTAAACCCTAAACCCTAAACCCTAAACAGAACGATAGGCTAACTTAGGTCGTGGAGGCTGCTTGCGCAACTCGGCGATGGCCACAGCCACCAGCTTGTCCGTTCCTGTGCAGGGCGGAAGCGTGCCTCGGATCTGCGGAGAAAAAGGAAACGCTGTATGAGACTTCTAATACATGAATATTAGATGAATGCCATATATATATATATATATACATATCTATATATATATATATCTATATATATGTATATATATATATATAATATATTAACATATTGTACTACACTAATCTGAAAAAATCATTAGGATTTAGGGAATAGGGATGAGTAGGGCGTAGGAAGGAGGAAAAGAAGCTGGTGCAAAGAGAGGCCGCGTGGGCGCACCTTATCGCTCATCACCATTTTCGCTGAGGCACATTGATTCCTGGGACTGTGCACTGCCTGCATGAACATGGCCTTACACGCACAAGGTGGTGGGCTTCCTCCGAGCTCGGGTTTCACAGGATGTTCTGACGTTAGGGATCCCCTTAGAGTCTTCTAGGTAACTTTGGCAACTGACAGTGGAATCCCGTATCAGTTGGAGTTAGGAGTTCAAATTGCTTTTGGCTCTTCAGTTGAGGTTTTCCAAAAATAGGGGTACCTCATTGGTGGGGTCCACAATTATAAGGGGATCCTACTATTAAGGGGTCCTTTTTTAGGGGTCCCCTATTTTCGTAAACTCCCAGTTGAAGCCCAGCAGCCATGAGGCTGAGCGCGCCCACCTCGTATGCCAAGTCCTGATTCTTCCGAGGCCTGCATCGACACCAGTCTGGCCTGGGATAGTTTTGCAACACTTCAAACAACTGCGGCACAACCCTAAACCCTAAACCCTGAACCCTAAACCCTAAACCCAATCCTCAAGTAAACCCTTTTGTGCTCCAGCTCTAGAACTCAGCCCTTCTTTGCATTAACCCCTAAACCCGGTTTTCAGCATCCTTTTGAGAACCCTGGGGTGCCATTTCCAGCCAAAGGCTACCAACCCAGAGATACGCCTTAAACAGATGAGCAAGGATGGCCCTTAAAACCCTCTGAACCATGCTCCGGAATGTGATCCGGTTACACCCACATAAGGGATAATACAAAATATCCCAAGAGTCTACCGGGGCCGGAGTCATGAAAAATGGTTTTCCCTTATGGTCCGTTTATAAATGTACTAGCTAGAATCCCCTTAAGGGGAACCCCCAAAAGGGTACCCCCATTTTCGGAAGCACCTATATTAGTAATGTCGAAAACCATTTGCCCAAGGCGGACGCGGCGCCCGGCAGAGCCCAATGCGGCCACCGGAGCGCCAAACGCCCTCGCGAGGCGCCGCGCACCTGCACATAGAGTTTCGGGTTTCGGGTTTAGGGGGGGGGGGGGGGGGGGGGGGGGCTGTACGTTCTAGTGGTGCCGCTGAGGCTCACAAGGGAGATATACTCTAGAATCGGGAGCTGGGATGCATCGAGCCCCCTAAACCCAGAAACCCAGAAACCCAAAAACCCAAAAACCCAGAAACCCTAAAACCCTAAAACCCTGCTTGTCATTGCGAGCCGAAACTTGCGACCCTTCCTGGCAAAAAAGGGAACATTGGGGGGTTTCCGAAATTAAGCTACCTTATTCGGGTCCTCACTATAAGGGGATCCTACTATTTGGGGACCTATCTTGGGGGGTCCCCTATTCTCGAAAAAAATCCCACACACATGGGGATGGGTCGGAGCTCGCCTATCTCGCGCGCGCCGTAGGCGGCCACGCTCGCGTCGATGAAGCGCATCTCTGAGAGGACGGCGCCCGAGAGGCGCATGGCTCCCAGGCGCTGAAGTTCTTCTGTTGCTGCTCGCTGCAGCTGCCTCGGATGGCCGTTTATAAAAGCCCTGTGCAAAATATACTCCTGAATTTAGTCCTCTTAAACTCAAAAAAAGGGTAGAAAAATATAGGAAAATGTCCCAAAGGCCTACCTAGCTGCTGTGCTGCCTCGACTGAGAGGGGCCAAGCCGGCCGCATCTTTGCCGGCGGCCCTGGGACGCGCAAGTAGATGTGGCCTAGTTCATGGTTGGGATCGTATTAAAAAATCTAAAAATGTGTATTCCTTATTAGGTTTAAGTACCCTTAAAACTATATTCCTTCTTGGGTTCAAGTGCCCTTAACAGTATAAAAATGATACCCAACTATGACCAAGTGGCAAGCCACGTCGCGGGACCATTGGGTGGCCACGTGGACGCGCTTGAGAAACACCAAGCCGCCAGCCGGCACAGTTATCATGACTGGCCTAGGACGAAAAATTTTCCTGAATATGATCCTCTTAAACCCCCCCAAAGAGGGAAAATGCAAACAAAATGTCCCCAAAAGGACCTCTTAAACCTCCCTAAAAGGCAAAATATATACAAAAATGTCCCAAAAGGGCCTAGTGGCTTCTTTTCTGGCTTGCCTTCCTCCGGCGGGTCCCTGGGCTCGGCCTCCTGGGCCGTGGCGCCCTGCAGCAGAAGAGGGTCTTCAAAAACCCTGGAGCAGAGGAGAGGGTGTTTAAACACCCTGGAGCAGAGGAGGGTTCTTAAAAAGAGGGTCTTCGAAAAACCCTCTCAAAAAAAAAGGGTTTTAACAGAATCTTCTTAAAAAAAACCTCTCCTGGAGCTTGAGCCGATCCAGACTCCAGACGGCGGATCCTGGGGCGAGCTCGGCCTCCAGCTTCGCAGTGATGGGGGCCTTGGCTCACTTACCATGCCCATTGGGATGTTCCGCCTTATGCAGTGGGTTTGGGGTTTAGGTTTAGGGTTTAGGGTTTAGGGTTTAGGGTTTAGGGTTTAGGGTCTAGGGTCCCTTGAGGGGTTGGGTTTGACATTCGGCGATCAGGCTCCTTCTATCCTTGTAAACGCCAACATCTTTGCTTGCAGCTTCAGAGGTCCCCTGGAGTGACTAGGCATATTGTTATATACGACGATGGTCATCAAAAATATAAGCGTTTGGTATTCGTGCTCTTCTTCATACAATTGCTGGCACTTTCCCGATTATCTTTTATGTCACCATTGCATATGCAATCTTCTGATTGGCACCACCCTTGGGGCCGTGCTAGCTCTCTCGCACGGTCTGCTGGTGCGAGGCCATCCTTGCCAAGAAAAAGAAGGACGTTGACATGCTGGGCTTGGGGCTTCGACTCTCACACTGGCCGGGCTTATCGGGCCTAGGGCTTGGGGTAGCACGATGTTGCTCAGGGCCGCAAGATGCTGCTGAACACCGCACCAGTTCTAGGATTCAGGGTTGCAAGATGCTGTTTAGGGTTGCAAGATGCTGCTGAACGAAGCACCTGTTCCAGGATGACCAGTGTCACCTCCGAGAGGTTTGCGCTGGCTGCAGCTTGTGGAAAGAAGGACACCTCGTGACAGTCAGCTCCGCCCAAGACACATTGTATACGTCTAGCCGCCTGGACAGCCACGTCAAGCAAAAGCCGAAGAGAACTGAGGTGTCAGCTGTCTTACCCTTCCATTGCAGTAGAGTCGGCTGTGTCCTGCGCCAAAGCAGCAAGGTGCTCAACTTATGTCGAAGGTTGAGGGTCCTGTTGTAGCACGAGAGCGCACACCTGGACATCGTAGCCGGATCCTTCGTGCATTCTCCTGCGGTGACACCAGTGGTGGTGCCAGTGTTCTCACATTGTCAACCCTAAACCCTAAACCCTAAACGCCCTAAACCCTAAACCTCTAAGAGGTTGCAAGGTTGCAACGTGCAAGTGCTGCCTTTGGCTGCCTGATCTTCGCACGCTGCGTTGCTGTCAACCTCATGACTGACTGCCCCGCGCTTAAGAGAGGGGCTGAGAGGGAGAGAGACGGAGAGGGAGGGAGAGGGAGACGAAGAGAGATAAACGTGAGCCCATTTCCAAGGCTGGCACCAGGTCGGAACCATAGGTGTAAAGGAGGTCCCTGCCAGCAACAGGGTCTAGGAGTTTAGGGTTTAGGGGTTTAGGGCCCTAAACCCTGAACCCAAAAAAAAACCGAAAACCCCAAACCTTTTAACCCTTCTTGCATCCGCGCTTGAGGTGTCGGCCGGGCAGGCGAAAGGAAAGAAGACATAACCGTAGGCACAAATGCTGTGATCTGCTAGTCCCTACACCCTAATGAGGTCCCTGCCGGCCACTGGGAGAATTGTTTGCGCAAGAACCCCACCTTCTCTCTTTTGCGTTTGCAAACAGTTGCTCAACTCCACCATTGATGGGGCCTTCGAAGGATTCATATGACAGGGTACATGGTTGCTGAAGTCCCCACTCCACAAACTCTGGAGAGCTTTGATTGTGTGTTTCGGGTTTAGGGTTTAGGGTGTATCCCGACCCTGTGCAGCCGGACGCACAATAGGAAGCCCCGTCCCCATTAGGCACACTGTGATAGGTGTCGAACATCAGGTGAAACGCGACACGCCAGACACTTTTATTTACACAAGGGTCTGGGGTTTAGGGTTTGTGCAGAGAGGTCGAGGAGGCACTATGCTAATGCGGGTGGGCCAGCCTTAAGCGGCGTAGCGCGAGAAGAGCTCGCGTGTGCTGCACGAGGTCCTGCCAGCAAATGGCCCCCTTATTTGAGGGACTTGACCCCCACTTGGAGGTTCATGGGCACTTATAACCCAATTATAACTGTACTTATAAGCCCCTAAGTCCTCTAAGTAGGTTATAAGTGGATTTTAATTGGGGTTATAAGTACCCATGAACCTCCAAGCATCTTTCTGCCAGGCACACGCACATGCAATGATTCGGGGAGCTCTCGGGTCCAGTCCTTCTCCACGCCGATCGTCCGACTGCCCAGGCCAAGCAGAAATGCTACCAGCGGTAGCCGGCCTGCTGCACTTCCTGGCCAGGGCCGAAAGAAACCTGCAAAGGAAAAGGCTGCCCCAAAATGGTCCTGTCCTGCAAACCCAGATCGTCTAGGCCATCAGACTTGCAAACCCACACCCAAAACCTCAATTCCTATAGAGCTCTAAACCCTAAACCCTAAACCCTTTTCCCCAAGATGAACTTCCCGCCTAGCACGGCCAGCACGTCCCCAGCCCCCAGCGGCACGTCGAAGAGCGCGGGGCCTAGAAAGCTCGAATGTGCGGGGCATCGGTCCATGCAATGCCAAGCAATGATGCTTGAAAACCCTACACCCCAAACCCCAAACCCCAAACCCTAACCCCTAAACCCTAAACCCCAAACCCTAAACCCTAAACCCTAACGTTTCGCAGGCGTGGGCTGGCGTCCCCAAACCTGGCAGAGCCCTTCCGGCCTGTGCGCAGCAGGCCTTCGAAGGTGGACTCGACCGGCAGCTGTGGCAGAGTCGGAAGTTTGGAGGGATCCGCCGCAGCCGCGGCCTGCACAGCGAAGTTTGTGGGGTTTAGGGTTTAGGGTTTAGGGTTTAGGGTTTAGGGTTTAGGGTTTAGGGTTTAGGGTTTAGGGTTTAGGTGTTCGACTTTTCGGGCTTGGTGGTGCCAATCAGACTGGACGCGCACGTTGGCCCTGAAATCGACAGGGCTCCTGCTCCTCACTCGGGGCGAAGAGCTTCTGCAGCAAACAGCTGAGTTTGTCACTCTCTGCATGACCTTAGGCTGCTGACCTATTTATACACCAAACCCAAAAAAAGTCAACCATGCTTCTGCGCAAGAGTACTACTTGGAGGATTATGGTACTTATTAATTATGAACCAGTTATAACTGTACTTATAATGACCAATAAGTACCATGAACCCCCTAAGTACCATGAACCTCCACGTAGGCAAGCACCGACGCATCAGATGTGCGGGTGGAGGGGCAGCCCGCCGCGCGAGCGGCCACATCTAAAGGCACCTGCGGCTCGGCTGACAGCGGCCCGAAGCTGATCCTTACTTCTCCAATAGCCAAGGGAGAAAAAAAGGGGTTTAGGGTTTAGGGCTTAGGGTTTAAGGTTTTAGGTTGAACTTTATTATTCCTACTAAGGAAACCCGAAAAGTTTGAAGTTCAACTATTGGCTAAGTAAGGATCCAGAGAAGGAGGACGCAGGTGCCCCAAGTCGCCATGGCTCAAGGCATGAAGACGCGTACCCCTAAGGTTGTACCCCTAAAGGTTCCCCTTCGTGTACTCGTAGTATGGCACTGATATTCCTAGAATGGCAAGGTGCCCTGGAGGCTGGGTGTAAGCATATAAAGGGAACTTCTGGGGGAAGCTGCATAAATACGGCCTCCTGTCCCACACTTGCGCGGGAAGGTGCTGCCGCTCATGCTCTGCATTTACAAGCTAGCTAACTTGTTTCCCTTCTCTATCGGCTGCTAAGGATGCACAGTTCAGCAAGATCAAGACTCAACCCCAAAGCACCGTTTAGGGTTTAGGGTTTAGGGTTTAGGGTTCAGGGCGATTCCACCTGTCAGGATTTGAGGCATGCTTTGGTGCGGCTTCCGCTCGTCGGTGCTTCGAGCAGGATGGCAGAACAAGCGGTTGCCAGAGACAGACATGGGTCGGTTTAGGGTTTAGGGTTTACGGTTTAGGGTTTAGGGTTTCGGGTCACTGCCGGCATGGTGACTGCGAGACAGGCTCCCCTTTTCGCGCGGCTCTGTGCCTTCGGCATCCAGATGCTCAGGAGGCTTGCTTGGAAGTGCCGGCTCCGAAAGAAGTACCCTCAACCTTAGTTGTCCAGTACTTAGGGGAACCAAAGTGGCTCGCCTTTGGGATGACAAAGGGGACTATACTACCCCAAAAAGGTTATATAAAGGTTATATAAAGGTTATATAAAGGTTATATAAAGGTTATATACTCTACTACTGAGCAGCAAGTTGGAAGCGTTTGCCTCATCGCCCTCAGGTGTGGGCAAGGTCCACTCCTCGTGTCGCAGCTTGCGGATCGTCGCAGCCCACTCTGCTCGTGGAACGACTTGACCACCCAGCTCCAACCTTGCGGGGACGACACGAACCCTAAAATTGGGGACATATACTCATATATATATATATATATATCCTATACTACTATACCCCCCCTGTTCAGGCACATGGACCCATAAACCCTTTGTAGGGCTCATTTCGTGCCCAAGGAACTTGTAGTCCAACTCCATTCCGAGATCCCACACCTTGAAACCCCGCTTCGCCAACCATGCACCAAGCGCCGCCAGCTGCACACAGCCAGCGCCTGGGTACTTATCTTTGATGGAGAAGCCCGTGCAGCTACTGTAGACGCTGCCACATGTGTAGCCGATCTCCCCGGCGACGAGATCACCAGTTTCGCTGTGCCACAGCTCGATGGAAAGGAAGCGCACGCCACCTCTGAGCCACTTTGAGCCGATGTCCTGAACGTCCTTGTACGCCTGCGCATCCCCGGTGCTTCTAGTTTTTTTAGCTTACACCCTGATTTGAGTGGCTTTGGTGGAGAACTGAAATGGGTGGTCTCTCTCCTCTCATTCTTCCTCTTCCTCTTCCTCTTCTTCCTCTTCCTCTTCCTCTTCCTCTTCCTCTTCCTCTTCCTCTTCTTCTTCTTCTTCTTCTTCTTCTTCTTCTTCTTCTCCTGCTTCTTCTTCTGCTGCTTCTGCACTCTCTCTCTCTCTCATGTATCCTGTCCGTAATGTAGATGATCCCTAATTGCAAGCCTTCGTGCTGTACAGATTCTCAACACCAATTAAAGCCCTACTCCTCTTTCTCGGTGGTCCATATTCCCTCTGCTTCGGAACCCTTTGATCAACCCTCTGAAGCATTGGCCGGCCGCTCCACTCTCAAAACCCTAAACCCTAAACCCTAAACCCTAAACCCTAAACCCCTAACGGAGAGGAACCTCCAGGAGGGGGGGGGGGTCCCCCAGCCAAGTCTCCGAATCCGTGGCCCCCGTTCAGCGAGCGCCCTCGGTCTCTCTCTCTTTCTCTGTGTTTCTGTCTCTCTCAAGTCGCCTCGGCCAGGCAGCAAGCTCAACTAAATTATGCCGGTGTAGAACATCTCCAATGTCCAAAGCTAAAACACAGATCTAGGCTTTTCAGCAGGGAGGCCCGGCAACTCAACTGAAATCGGTCTTGGGGGGGGGGGGGGGGGGGGGACAAGAATCCCTAATGCCTGCGCCATTTTGTCGGAGAGCCAGCAATCACCCGGCGCTGATGTCCACGTGTGGCGCTGAATGTTCTGAACAACCTCCGACCACGCCTGATTCACACTGAGCCGAAAGGCTTTGGCGCGCTTCCTGACCTTCTTTCCCACGTGTGTTTTGCTAGGTTCCAACACACAACGCTGAAGATGCATCTTCCCCAGCAGCATGCCCACTCCGGACATGGGCAGAAAGCCATGCCAAACCAGCAGTGCAATGAGAGACGCAGTGCGCTCGCCCTCGTCCAGGCTGGCTACGAGAAACTCGCTACCACCTGGGAGACCTTCATCCACCAAGTGCGGCAAGATTTCCTCAAGATCCTCGAGCGCCAGCGAAGATGGTATGCGCGCCATGTGTCTGCAAAATCTGTGGCCCATGCACAACCTACCAGCTCAGTACACTGTGATAGAATGCAAGCCAGCACGTGCTGCCCTTCGGTCATGCTTTGCTGCCTCTGGTCTCGTTATCTAATCTTTGGTGACACTGTGACCTGCTGCGATCCATCTGTTCTCGGAAAACTTCAAACTCTGAACACACGCTGCGCACAAGCGGCGTTGGCTCGCTGCGTGCAAAAAAGCGAGCATGACGCAGCCTCCTCCAGCACAGGTGCACTGCCCCAAAAAAACTCAGCAAAGTCACGGCTTCCGAGAGGACTTTGGGGTGTCGGAAGGCTTTGACCCTAAACCCTAAACCCCAAACCCTAAACCCTAAACCCTAAACCCGAAAGAGGTAGGCCCCCCACGGCCAGAAGCTTGGCCTGAGCCTCTGCATGACCTGAGCCAGCTTGAAAAGTGGGGGTTCCTTTTGGGGAATCAGATCAGATGAAGGGGGTCCCTTCTAGGGTGCTTGTACCCCCTTAACCCTAAACCCTAAACCCTAAACCCCAAACCCTAAACCCTAAACCCTAAACCCTAAGCCCTAAACCCTAAACCCTCAACCCTAAGCCCCAACATTTCCTAGCCTCCCAAAGCCAGGGCTACATACGGCAAGGACATGGAGGGACACGAAGGACACGTTCTTCAACTTCAAGCAGCCTGCTCGAAGCTGAGTGATGCCAGGAGTACACGATGTACCCACACTTCCCACAGGTAAGGTTGTTGAGGGAGCAAAGATAAGAGCAGGCAAGAGCAAACCCCCCAATCCTAAAACACTGAAGCCCCCAAACCCAGAAGTTCGTTTTGCAACCGAACCCTACACCCATCAATTCTGCTGGCTGGGGGCTAGCTAAGGGCATCATCGTTGCAGGCTGTTCTGGTGAGTCTTGAGAAATTCACAGAGGCTCTTGTTGCAGTCACTACTCAAAACTTGCCCTCAGCCTCCATGTAAAGCAAAAACATGCCAAACACCGAAGATCGGCTAAGATCCCTAAGTACCCCGTCATCCTTGCTTGCCAGTGTGCAACGGGCCCTGATGCCTTGAAAGGCGCAGCCTCTGAAACTGGGCTCCTTACTCTGATGCCTCGCGATCAGGTCCTTTCACGCAAGGCTCAGGGTTTGGAGCTGAGTTAAATCAACCAGTTTAGGGTTTAGGGTTTCGGCGTGATCAGTTACCCCCGCAACAGCAGTGGCAAGTGCACTTGCTTCGATAACGACTGCGGACTGCAACAGCCCAGACCCCCTGGAAGGATCTGTAAAGTAGAACCCCCCAACTAGTACCCTACACTACTGGTCACTCTTAGGAACCCCTTTAAGGGGAGTCTGGGAGGTCACTACTGGTCACTCCTAGGAACCCCTTTAAGGGGATCTACTTTTTGGATCTTCCCAGTCTGAAAGGCGGCCAGTAGCGGTCCTCAGCGTCAATCGTCTCCCCCAGCCGTTCATCGATACAACAGAGACGTCCCAAGGTGGCACCTTCCGCGAAAATTCCCCAGATGGTGGAGATACTTGCAGACAGTCAGTGAGCGCATGCATACAGGTGCATGTGTAGACAAAAGCAGAGAAGAGAGCGGAAGAGAGAGAGAGAGAGGAAGAGTTTAGATAAATAAATAAAGATAAATGGAAATAGAGATATCTATGTATGTATATCTCTATATATATCTGGTCAGTTCTCTAAGTTAGGATCCCTTTTTGGGTACCCTAAATAAGAGGGGCCGCCTTATAACAAGGACCCCAAAAGGGCCCATACTTTAAAGAGATCACCATATATCGTCGCATGCGTCGCGTTCAGTTCTGCACGCCGCGCAGGTACCCAAGCCCCAAACCCTAAACGCTGAACCCTTTTTTGCATCCGGGCTATGATGTCCTGGCCGGAAAGTCTTAGGAACCCTGAACCCTAAACCCTTCAGCCGGACAGAACTGCGGGCAGCACCCATGAACTCAAAAGCGGCCCATATCGAGGCTGGGAGTTAGTGCTTGCCTACACCAATGGGGGTTCAGGGTTTAGGGTTCAGGGTTTAGGGTTTAGGGCTACCAGCCTGGTGGCAATGACTCATTAAAGGGGTAGATGGTGCAATCTGGTGTGCTGGAGCGTGAGCAGACAGGGCCCGCTGCTGATTGCTCTGACAGGCACTCTGCTTGAGGCCGAACTGTGTTGCCGCCAGGTTTGGGGATTCTCTGAGCCAACGTAGTGTGACGGCCCTTCCTACGGCGTGAGCCATGTGGCATAAGAAAACCATCAACCATCTGACCACGAAACCCTGTACATTTAAAAAAGCTGTCCTGGTGTTCCGGTGCACACACCTCGTGAGCCGAAGGCGGCCGGCGGGATGCAGGTGCGAGAAGCAAAATGTCGGTCGCGAAGACATGTCCCATTCGGCCCTCTTTCTGGGATCGGGTGTCAGTACTTGGCTGCACTTAGGAGGGTAGCTAAAAATTAAAATTTTAGCTGCCTTATTAAGAAACCCAATAAAGGCTAAGGATCTAAAGTTACAGTAAAGCACCACAATGAGTAGAACCTTGATCGAGCTGCCTACCCAGGGCTGGCTCGACCAACCTCTGCATTCGAACGACACTACTCCTTCCTTGGCCGGCAAAACGATCGCTGCCTAAGCAGGTACTAGGTATTTGTGATGCAGAGTCGGCTCGATTGCCACCTAAGTTTGGGGTTTTGGGTTTGGGGTTTGGGGCGTAGACGCACCTGACGCGCGCAAGCTACAAGTTAACCAGCTACGAGTGTGGAACCACTGCGACTATGATCAGATCCAGCCCTAAACCCCACATCAATTGCAGTCCAAACCCAAAAGGCGAGGGAGCGGTCTGAACCCAATCCCTCCAAAACTCGTGCTGCGTCTAGGGCCCCAGAGGAGTGGTGCTACATTTTGGGAAGAACCCGAACGACAATACCCTAGAAGAGTGAGCATAACTATCAACGACCCCCCCCCCCCCCCCATGCGGTCAAAGTACGCTGAATATTACTAGTTCATGGTTGGGATAGTATTAAAGATTTGGATTTCTATTCATTGTTGAGTTTAAGTACCCCTTAAAAGTGTAAAATGTTACCCCACTCTGTCAAAGAGAAGAAGCTACTAGCCCTAAACCCTTTTGCCACTGGACTGAAGGCAAACCCTAAACCCTAAACCCCAAACCCCAAACCCCAAACCCTAAACCAAGGGCCCCCGGCACGCGACCACACAACCGGCAGGCCTTGCGGACCTCCTTCTCCAGCTGTCCACACCTGACAGGGCGTTGGGCTCATGGCTGGGTTTGGGGGGAAGTACGGTTTAGGGTTTAGGGTTTAGGGTTTAGGATTTAGGGTTTAGGGTGTAGGGCGTAGGATGTAGGGCGTAGGGTTTAGGGTTTAGATTTTTTTTTTAGGGTTTCAGGGTCTCTCTCTCTCTCTCTCTCTCTGACACATGTACACCTACACCTGGGGCGAGACATGAAAGTCGGAAAGTAGATCAACATGAGTGCAAAACGCGGCGCATCAGGACCAGCTCGCCTGCAGAGACTCATAAAACCAAGACAAGCACCCCAAAGCTCAACTGCGCACAACGGACCTGCTAGCTGAGACGTAGCCAGTGCGAATTCGCTCTACCGCGAGCTTTGAGAAACCCAAAATAGTATGCTGTGCAGATTTCATTTGGGGCCCAGCTTTTTTCCAACTTCCGCTAAGCCATGTGTGAGCAAGAGCATCTGTTTGGCAACTACCCAGCAGGCATGACATCGGGCCGAGGAACTTCTAGGAGCCCTACTTGGAGGTCCATGGGTAGCTACTATAAGTAGGGTTATAAGCACAGCTACTATACTTAGAGTACTTCTAACCCTCCTAGCTTCTAACCCTACTTACAATAGCTGTCCATGCAGCTCCAAGTAGGTTAAGCCCTACTTGCAGGTTCATGGGTGCTTATAACCCCAGTTATAAGTCTACTTATTCCCTACTTAGAGGACTTAGGATAAGTCCAGATAAATTGGGTTATAAGTACCCTGAACCCCTAAACCCTAAACCCTAAACCCTTAGGGTTATAAGTACCCTGAACCTCCAAGTAGGTAAGCCCTACAAAAGTTGCCTCAGCATGAACTCCTAAACCCTAAACCCTAAACCCTAAACCCCTCCCTGCCAACCTTGCCGTGGCAGCTTCGGCTCTCTTCTCAGCCTCCAGCAAGCCAGGGACATGTGGTGCAAGCCGGGGTTTAGGGTTTAGGGTTTAGGGTTAGGGTTTAGGGTTTAGGATTCAGGGTTTAGGGTTTAGGGTTTACGGTTAGGGTTTAGGGTTTAGGTGGCTTAGGGTTTCGGGTTAAGGGGCTGATGCATGCAGGGTGTGGATGTAGGTGGCAGGTGGCCAGGGAGGCATGCGTCCAAAGCCGGGGTTTGGCAGTGCTTGGACACATCAAGACGGAGAAGCATGGAGAATGCGTAGCACACGGGCCCAAGACCAAGCACGTGCGGATACCACAGCAGCCGGATATGCTAGTTTGGACCTCGTTTCGGGGCCCTTGGCAATAGCTACGATTGCGGCGCTCGAAGCCCCCCTTTCTCCCTCACAGGCGCTCAGTGAATCAGGCCCATGCTGAACCTCTCTCACAAGCGCTCAGTGAGTGCCCTTCAGTCCCCCTAAACACCACATCCCCCCCACCCCCCCCTCAAGGAATCTTCGGCCTCCTGTCCCTTCTGGCGCAGCCCGTCGGTGCAGATGCGCAAGTCGCTCACTTCCTTGCTGCAAACGGTGGGCGCGCGGGGCCTGGGGGTTGGCCCTTTTGGGCCTTAACCGCTGCTGCGATCCTGCTGGCAAAGAGGACAGAATTAACATGATGATCCAAGGACCAATATGGACTATGCGACTTGTTCTCCCTTGCTGTGAAAGATATATGATATGTCACTGATGACATCATAGAACAACAACAACAATAACAACAATAACAATATTAACAATAGTAACAATAGTAACAATAATCATAGTAATAAAATATAATAATAG